ATAAGCAGCCCTTAGGCACCACATCATTAATATAACATTGGTTTCAACATCTGTTAGCAAACATATCAATTAGTTTACTTTCACCACAGACTCATATACAACACTGTACTACATATAAAAACAAAACTAAAAACAAAAAAGCAGACTGCTTTCAATAATCAGTGGTGCATTTTTCACAAAGTCGTTACATTTTGGAGAATCAAAAAATCATAAAAACCATATTTCTGTAATAGCGCTCATTATTTTAACCCTTTCAAGCCCACGGCACAGGTGTCCAATGAAACTCCAAAAGACCTATAATTTCTCACATGTAATGATTATTCTTATGATAAACAAAGATATATATTAAGATATTTAAAATAAGATGCATAGCACCATGTGTTTAGCATTTCAGCATTGTGAAAAGTTGTAATCTTTGCCCTAAAATGTTATTTTAACTCTCTCATAATTATCTATGTAGATCTTTTTGTTTTCAATAACAATTTGGTCTTGGTGTTGGGAAAAAAAATAATTCGTGCTTCTTTCAACCGGCTCCTAGTTTTGTGGTTTTCCTAGGCGAATGTTAAGGGTAGTAGTTTGCCAGTGCTTACAGACAGTTATACTGATAACTTATTTTAACCCAACAATTTAATATTGAAAAGAAAACTGGGATAAACAAAAAAACATTTATTACAACAAGTAACATGAGTTTATTTTAATGAACACATAGTACAGAGGGAGTTAATGCCAAACAACTGTATTATTATCTTCATAAATCCTGGTCCTGAAGGGGTTGAAAAAAAAAAAGTTTTAACTAGCTAGAAAAAAAAAAGCATTCCACAATAAATGATTCAGGATGGCAATAAGGCTAACGAAACAGCAGATGCAGCCAATTAGTTCACAATAATGTGGGCTATATTGTGAAGCATTACTTTCAACAAGCACTCAAACCCTTATCACCCTAACAACCGTGCCACCACAAAAGATAGAAAAAAATTTACCCAAACTGAAAAGTGTGGTAAAACTGAATAAACTACGGCAATGACAAAGAAATTAACAGATCATTTGTAGTGGGGGAGGGGAGTAAAGAAAACAATTCTGATATGTAACATTTGTTTCACAAAATTTTTGGCACCTTTCTGTCTTTCCAGATGACATTAAATTGTGTTACGGAAGACATGGGCTTTAGGGTTAAGGATGAAGTTCCTCCTCTTGACAGACCAAAAGCCGGGACAGTACTGTAAGGATCATTATGTTGCCCATGGTGCAATATACCTCTTCTGACCTGCCTTGTTTACCCCTAAGGAAAGGCAACACTAGTATATTTAGAACAAAATATGCTGGAGCAGAAGAGCTCACTTCCAGGCCCTGGTCTGCCTTGCCACAACCTTTTTAAAGTATCATGATAAACAATAAAAGACAGGAGCCACATGAAATCCTCTTACATTAGTTTCATACAAAGGCAGATGCAGAGAACCATCATCATCAAGTGCCTTGCCAACTGGCGTGTGCGATCAGGCCTCGGCACAGCTTGCGACTGACAGTAATCCTCAGCATTTCCTCAAGCCACGTCACAATATTGTCAAGAATAATCTTGTGCTGCCTTCCTCAAACGTTTCCCAAATCTTTCCAGTGGTCACAACATGCTCAAGTTTCCCTCTTCTTATAACATGGCCCAAAATATGATAACTCCTTGGCAACAAATTAAGAATTAAAAAAAAAATATTTTTTTTTGTAAACTGAACCCAATCTTGGAAAAATGCATGCCTGTCTAGATTTTAATAACCAATTTAATGTCAAAAAGTTATAATACACCAGATCCATAATCCTTTATCAACAATGGCTTTCAAAACTGACTGCTTGCAATAACAGTCAGCTGCAATTGTGCTGGGAGACAGTTTTGGCACATGTGACAATTACTTATACATTCATTTTGCATGTGCCAGCTTCAAGATTTTGATGGGACTGATTTGTTAACCACTAGTTTCCAAATGAAACAGTGAAGGACATTTAGTGATTCCCACTGGCACAGGAACACAGCAATTATGGGATGACTATCTGCAGTGAAGTTATAACCTCAGCTAACTAACAACAACCGGGTGACAAACTCCTCGTGGTCCGGGTTCACGCCCGGGGGTAGGCAGAAAAGCCATGTTTCTCCCAGATTTACAGTATCTATCATGGAATCAAGGCCGAAGGATTGCGATACTCATAGTACCGAGCCAAAGGGGTTAACTAACAACAATGGGGATACATATGTCCCACAGAGAATATTTTATCTTTTACATTTATGGTGGAATAGGTTCTTATAATAGCAAGATAAAAAACCCAGGTAATATTATGTTCATAATAGAGTTTTTAAAAAGTCCACACAATACGGAGCAAGAAATAGAAGGTTACTGTTAACTAATAAAGGTCATCATGTCTTTAAAACTTCAAATTACCCAAGTCTTTCCGGTCCTGAATCCAGTAACAGATTTCATGGCTGTTTAATTTCAACGTAAAAATGTAATATTAAATTTAGCTTCGTTGTCAATTTCCACTTCACTGATAGATTACCCCAAAAACTTAACTTGGAACAGAAATGAACATCACAACACACACATGGATACATCTGAAAAAGAAAAAAAAAAAGATGAGGCTGCCCAACCATTTATTTTGAACTTGGCCGAGAACCTCTGCTCCACTGGGGGTTAGAAAGACAGAAGAAGAATTGTCTCGCAATATGCAAATTATAATTTTGCAAACAGTTGCCAAAACAAAAACACCTAAATAATTTTAGATATAAGAAAAATCAGTTAAAATGGCTTTGTCAATGCTGTGGTTTCTTTACATATCAACTAATGTTACAACTTGAAATTTTGATTGCTAGAATGATAAACTCTAAAAGGAATATTACACTCAAGTAGAGAAATGTGAAACTACTGCATTATCTATCAATTTAAATTCTGCCTTGTTTTTAAAGTGGGCAGCAGTTTGAATTAGCGACAGTTGACAACTATTATTTCACTACCTGTCACAAAGTCTAAAAAACGTGTGAAAATCTGAAGGAACTATCTGACTGAACAATGTGATTTATTTATACATGCATTCACTAAACCATATATCAGTCTGACTGCAAAATAAAAAAAATAAAAAATAAATGCATCTAATGCCTTGGATACCTATTTCTAACATTAGTTTCTAAAAAAAAAAACAATTTACAAAGATTTGCAGTATCCATCAATTTCTCCTCAATTTAGTATTTTATTAAGCTATAACAACTTCAGCTACCTATCTTTACTGTCTACAACACCACTTGGGGCAGTGCAAGGAGCCTTAAACCTAAGGCAGCACGACCAGTGCAGTCGCCCTGAACTGTGCAGGTTCAGATTTTTATTTTCTCTGACAGAAAAACTTTCATTACTTCACAGAAGGTAAAGTCGGGAGATGTGAACCAGCGTCATTGCACACGGTTATAAACCATAAGTGCTCTGCCACTAGTACGGACAGCTGAAACCAGTCTTTGCACCAATCAGCTAGCTGCTCTTAACTCTTAACCTTTATGTTTAATTTTGTAGCAAATGTAAGTTATGTTGGGGACAAATATTGAGACTTGGCAAATAATTCTGGCCAGGTGTAGAATCAGGTAATGAAATCTAAATCAAACCAAATAAAAAAACCACAGTTAATGAAAACAAACCAACTAAAAATATTAAACCATTTTCCCTTGGTGAAATCAACAAAATGTTAAAAAACTCTCCTGGTGAAGTCAACTAAATAATGATAAACCAATCTCCCTTGGTGAAATCAACCAAATGATAAAACGCCAACTCAAGATGTTGAATTATACATATAATTAGGTATCAATGTAGACAAAGATGGGTGTACAGAGATATTAAAAATAAAAGTGCAAAAGGCAACAGCTTTGATATTACTAGAACATCGGTGGAAGTCACAATAAAGTATACCCAGGTTTTTTTTCCCCCTGGGGGCAAGCACCTTTATAAGCATCAGCATTTCCCCCAAAACACAAACTTGATGGTGAGTACTGGTACCTTTTTGTTTTTAAATAGATACTTAGCGGTGAGCACTGGCACCATTTTTAGACACTTTGCGGTGAGTAAACCCTAAACCTTCCCCCAGGAAGAAAAAAAAAAAGCTTTGGGTAAACCTAATATCAAACTGAACATACTTCACTCAAATTCTAATGTCTTTTAGTACAGCTGTATGGATCAGGTGTAAGGAACTAAAGTAACAGTTTATGAACTATAAACATTCATTATGTGCGCCTTCACAGAACAGAAGGACTAAAGTGGTAAGACTAGAGCTTAGAAAGATAGAGAAGAGAAGAGAGAGCTAAAATAAATTCCAACAAATGAAGAAGAGGTGCAGGACTGGACATAACAAACCTGAAAACAGTATGACTATTCCTATGATTTATTAATCTCCTTTTACTGGAACCAACAGGCTAAAACAGACACAGAGAAAGAGATTTAAAAACACAGGGAGAAAAGAATCAGGAAAAAAATGTGTGGAGAACTCTGAGGGAGCTGCGACAGATGACATGGCTTGCAGAAGAGGTACACTCAACTCCATCAATGAGTGGTAAAATGCAGAAGAATCATTAACATTTCTAAACATGGTACAAAATGTAAATATTTCAAATGAGAACTAATTTTCTTTCACAGTTAGCTGAAACGTCCACAACTTGCTAAATCATAATCATCATCATGTGGCATCTCGATCAGTTCATTGGTCATGATTCGAAGAAAGTGGTTATGGTAAAGAAACACACAAAAGACAGATCCATGTTAAGTCTGCTGATGCCCTCAGACACATCACAGTCGCCCAGACTCAATCAGATCCCTTAAGACAGGAGGGTAGAAGCTCCGCTCAGCTCTGCAGTACAACTGCAACACTGTCAACATATAAACCCGAAGAAGCTGAAATCACAGAAAAATGCGTTTTGACTTGACACGCTGCAAACCAGCAGAAGAAAGAAATCCACTCTCACGTTAATTCTGCAATGTTCAGATCAATTAATCATCGCAATTCTCAGCCTGGCTATCGGATGTCCACAGGGTGATATTATCTCGAAGAAGCTGCATAATCAATGTGCTATCTTTGCAGTCAGTGTCTTGCAGTTTCTCCAGATCGCTTATAGCTAAGTCAAAGGCTTCTTTAGCTAACTGAGTTGCCTTCTCTGGTGAATTCTGAATCTCATAGTAGAACACGGAGTAGTTGAGGGCCAGTCCCAGGCGGTTGGGGTGAGTGGACGGCATGTTCTTCTTAGCATGTTCCATGGCTTTGGAATATGCTTCTTCCGCAGAGGTGATTGCTGCTGCACGCTCAGGGTCTTGTTCAGACTTGTACTCTGCGATGTACCTGTAGTAGTCACCTTTCATTTTCAGGTAAAACACCTTCTCTTCATCGGAACAATCATCTGTTATCAGGTGCTTCTCCAAGAGACTTAGGACTTCCTTACAAGTTGCATCAAGTTCCGCTTCGACCCTGACACGAAATTCTTGAACCAGCCGTTTACGTTTATCATCATTTTCCGCCTTTTGTTCGATCATACTGATAATACGCCACGCTGAACGCCGGGCTCCGACAACATTTTTGTAAGCAACGGAAAGCAAATTTCGTTTCTCTTGGGTCAGCTTCCCGTCCATTTCGGTAACTTTCCGCATTGCTGCAGCCATATCGTCGTATCTCTCAGCTTGTTCCGCCAACTTCGCGAAAACAATCAACTCCTCGACATTCTTCAAGCCATCAATAAACTTACGGACTTCTTCGCTGCTGGACGTCATGGTGGTTAGTTGATCTACCGTTTAGAAAGAACACAAACTGTTTACTTCAGGTTAACTGCTACCTTCATGCGGTGTCGTACCCAGGGAAAATGGCGGCTAATGGTTGAAAAGTAAGTTACAGCGGCGCGATTTCGCTGTTTCACAGTTGCGTTAGGGTAGCGTCCCTTGCTGGACACAAACAGGTTCTGCTTCTTCTGCGTTCGCCCTTATAAGGGCAACAGGCTCGTTGTGTTGTGGTTTACAACTAGCCTGAGATATCGGCGGCTTTTGGCCCAAAACATTCCATTTCAACAAACCCTTAATTAGTCGCATTTTACGACATCCTTGTTAGGAAGCAGTGGGTTTATCCCACCTCCCTTTCCCGCCCACCCCGAGGCCCAGAACATAAGGAGAACGGCTAGATTAAAAACTGGGATGAAATGACTAAAAATATAAGTTAAACAATTTAGACGTCCATTATCGGACCGAATTATAACAGCAACAAAAACTACAAATAAAAAAAAAAACATTATGTATCATCATCATCTTGCCGACTGGCGTAGGCGATCATTCCTCTCCACAATCTGCGAATTCCTGCAGCATGTATCAGTTTGTGTGCCGACACACCTCTATGCCATGCAACAAGACTGTAAAGAATCTCCTCTCGTTGTCTTCCTCTTCCCTCCTTTCACAGATCTTTCCAGTGGTCACAGCATGTTCCATTTTCCCTCTTCTCATAACATAGCCGAAAAATGATGACTGTCTCCTCCTGATGTCTGTGATAAGTTGTCTTCGGGCTCCTGCCTCTTTCAAAACATCTTGGTTGCTCTTTTTGGCTGTCCAAGGCATTTTAAGCATTCTTCCATAAAACCATATCTCTGAGGCCTCAAGAAATTATTTGGCCTGTCTACCGATTGTCCAGGACTCACAGCCATATGTTAAAATTGGATGTATGTAGCAAGAAGAATTCTTTTTCTAACCTTCAATAAGAAAGATATATTGCATAAGATGTTCTTCATTTTATAAAATGCAGTTTTTTGCCTGTCCTATTCTGTTTTAACCACCACAGGGCTTTGATTTTATATTAATTATATAGTTACCTGCAATATTATATATTTCTCGTCCTTTTTGGATGAAATTTTTCGTTTTTTTTAAGCCCTACGCTGGCTTTTGCCAGGGGCTGCAATATAGCATGGCCATAAATATGGCCTAAAGGCTGAACGCGGTTTCTGGGACCTCTCCACGGTGATCCTCATCCACATGGTGGCACATTGTGTCATCGGGTGTTTATCGCTTGTGTGATGTCCTAGTGGGGTAGAAAGTCAGTCAGTCAGCTACCTGCATTTAACTTTGGTCAGGTCTTAGTCAGATATGACTGAACTAGCGTAAAACAGAAGTTGGTACAACATGTTTTATAATCCAAGTCATCCACTTGTGGGATGCAATTTTTCGTTATTTTGAAGCCCCAATTTCAATGAAGCCGCAATATAGCCTAACGGTTGAACGCGGTTTCTGGGACCTCATCCGCATGATGTCACTGCGTGTCACCGGGTGTTTATGGCTTTGTGTGATGTCCTGGTGGGGTGAAATTTACTAACATGTTTTATATGAACGTCAAATGTTGGGGCGTGGCGTACACTAAACCTGCTCCCCACATTGTGCCAACGACTTCGAGGGGAGGGACGTATTGTGGATGCTCCTGGCCTTATCATAGAAAGAGGAGGAAATGCCCACTATAATACTTCACGTTATGGCAGGGTAGACCAAATCGCTAGCCTTGGAGCTGGTTTAATAATAAAGCTCCGACAAGCATATACACTACAATTCTTTTTTTTTTTTTTTTAATCTAGCAGTTTCTATAGCGTACTTTATTCCAACCGTACTGGTGTTACCTGTCCTTTGGAATAAAAAAAGGCAGCCCCAGTTGAGGGATCATGGCGCTTGGGCAACACGTGGTCTCTGCCTCAATTCCCAGGTTTTGTGCAATGTTTTCTTCTTCTTTGTTCACCGGCTGTAAGCTCCAGAGGAAAGTCCTGATTGTTCGTCCATTGGGACTTTGGCTTTGTGCCAGGGCCTGAGTTTTGCATGTATATTCATGTTTCTGGCTTATTTGTGTGCAGTTGGATGTTCGAAGGAAGTCCCCAGTTAGTCGACTCCTACGACATGCTTGTTGTGGGAGGCAGTGGGTCTATTCTTATTTTCACAGTGGGAGCCCAGAATCCCCACGGGGAGTTTGTGCTATGGAAAGCAGGGGCTTCACATACTTCACACTTTTCATAAAGGGGACGGGTCTTGCTAGTCACACTCGCCATCGCCATGGGCAACGAATCTCTCTCCCCCCCCCCCCCCCACGCATTCTGCACAATACAATAAAACACTGTCATCTGGAAAGATGGAGAGGTGACATCAATATATCATTTTATTTAAAAAAAAAAAAAAAAAAACTTTAGAAAGCGAGATAGTGTAACCGACACGCTCACCTGCCAGTCCGGATGGTCTACGGTTCAAATCCGCATGGTGTAATTACCACTTCTTAGCCAACATAATTGGCACAAAGAAACCAGACCACAATTATAACTAATACTGCTCTCAGTAGGTTGAACATGGTTGATTGTTGTTTGTTTCGTTTTCATGAATGGATGAGATTTTAGAAAAATTTCAAAACGACAATCCAGTATCGATCAATCCCAAAGTTGTCGCGGGTGGGTTCTGGGGGCCCCTTTGGGGGAGAGAAGAAGAGAGAATAGACCTATTCCCTCCTTAACTAACATGTCGTAGAACCTCCTTCGGAGTCAGAGTGCATCTGTCCGAGCGGCAAAGAACATCCAGCTGCACACAAATAAGCCAATGAAATGGATGTATACACCCTGACAAAAAAGCTAAAGTCTAAACAGACGAACAATCCGGACTTTCCGCCAGAACTGAAGCTGGTGAATATTTGAGGTTTAAACAACATCATGGTAGTAACCCATAAATGCTCCGTTCTTCTTCTAACTCGTCTGAGTCCGAAGAACCTCAGCACAATGCACAGGCTCTATAGCACCGGCGAGGATCCTGAAATATTTTGGGTAGATTTTTAACTCCAAATGTTGCCTGGGCAACTTCTTCTTCTTCTTCTTCTTCTTCTTCTTCTTCTTCTTCTTCTTCTTCTTCTTCTTCTTCTTCTTCTTCTTCTTCTTCTTCTTCTTCTTCTTCTTCTTATTCGTGTTCTCTGGCTGTAAACTCTGACAGAAAGTTTTGGTTGTTTGTCCACCTCTGGGCTTTAGTCTTGTTCCAGAACCCGAGTGTTGCGTGCACATCTATTCAATTAACAGATCTCACTTAATTGTATGCAGATAGTTGTTTCCTTGCCTCTGGGGTAGATGCACACAGACTTAGAAGGAAGCTCCCAGTTAGTCGACTCCTACGACATGCTTTTGTAGTTTACTAGAAGCAAAGCCCAAGAAAGATCTTGTATTAGAGAAAGGGAGCAGATAACTGTGAAAGATAATATAAAAATATACTTATTGAATCTATCTCTATCCCAAGCCTTCAAGAGCTCAAAAAATTAATATGTGTCGAATGTAAGCCAACCCACACTCAAGCTGCCTCAGTAACAAAACAGAAAAAGTTTGTTAGGCGGGGGTTAAGACCAGTAACGTCTTAACCCAGAGAGGACATGTTCTGTATGAAGTCTAATCAGTAGTAGTAAAACTAGGCTCACTAACTACGAGTCATAATCCAAATCAAAACAGCGAGAACTATAATTATCACATTCAACTTCTGTTTATTTTATTCAACACAAAACTAAGCGCCTCACAGAAAATATTACATTAACAACTATCATCGTATCCATACAAACCACGTGCTAAGAACTTCAACTTACAAAAGTGAAAATTCGCTCCCAACGACCTGAAATAATGTCTCCGAGCGATGATACACACTGTTATATAGCTCTACACAGAAAATTCAGACATAACTACGACGGAAATTTATATCTAACCAAAGACGTACCACCGCCATGAAATCAATCAGTCTAACGTCGCTTAATCGGGTCATGTGCTACTCACTCCTCTGACAAGGAAATAGGATAATGAACGCATTCGTTCAGAAATATATTACATCACGGATGGCAAACAATCACATGTACGTTAATTAAGCTTCATCATACCACCAGATTAGTAAATCGCCCATAGCGACCTGCAATAAAACTATCTCCGAGCGAGGATACACAATGCTACCTAGGTCTGAGTCACACAATTAAATTACTGGTGGAAATATAGGTCTAGCATCCAAATTAACCATTGAGAAGAATGGAAACCGTGAAGTAGCCACGCCATCCCTCTCCGGCTCACCAGCCTGGAAACTCTTTCAACTTCTGACTCCCTGCTTGCCAGATTTTTGTTCGGTTGCATTCTAATGAAACATAATTTATAAAGGCCTTTGGCGTCCTGCAACAGTAACGTATCATAGCACAACAGGACAATGCATGAATTAAAAAATGAATGAGTAATTTTATTTTCCATGTCTGTCTTGTCTTGTCTTGTCTTGTCTTGTCTTGTCTTGTCTTGTCTTGTCTTGTCTTGTCTTGTCTTGTCTTGTCTTGTCTTGTCTTGTCTTGTCTTGTCTTGTCTTGTCTTGTCTTGTCTTGTCTTGTCTTGTCTTGTCTTGTCTTGTCTTGTCTTGTCTTGTCTTGTCCTGTCCTGTCCTGTCCTGTCCTGTCCTGTCCTGTCCTGTCCTGTCCTGTCCTGTCCTGTCCTGTCCTGTCCTGTCCTGTCCTGTCCTGTCCTGTCCTGTCCCGTCCGTCCGTCCGTCCGTCCGTCCGTCCGTCCGTCCGTCCGTCCGTCCGTCCGTCCGTCTGTCTGTCTGTCTGTCTGTCTGTCTGTCTGTCTGTTGTGTGTATGTGTGTGTGTGTATGTGTGTGTATGTGTGTATATGTGTATGTATGTATGTATGTAAGTATGTAAGTAGTGCTGCTAATCAAGACAGTGTGTAAATAGGTGTCAGTACTCCCCACAAACTTTTTATTACATTAACGATGG